AGGGAAGTGGACCGAGCCATAAAGTCCAGTCAACCACAGGTGGTCATGTAAATCAAAAAGGAATGGATGGCATCGGGGTTCCCTGTGAGAAGGTAGATTGGGAGATCTCCCATTGTTGTGTGAAGATCTCCCATTGTTCCCAGGGAGTAGAGGTGTTCTAGAAAGTTGGTGTGAAGAGAATTTGGGGAAATTCTCTTTGGATGTATGGGGCTATGTGACTGTGTGTGCTCGGGAAAAGTCTTTTGGTGTCTTAGCACCTTCCTGCTGCAGACCCAACCAAATGTGAAAACCACTGAAATCTAACAGTTTCCAGGTCCAAAGTGACAAAAATATTTTTAATTAAAAACAAGTAAGAACGTGACTATGACATAACACACGTGCACAAGAATAAAAACTCATTTAATTTCAGGTTAGTTTTCAGGAAGTCTCTTCTCTCACTTCCTTTTTCCTGTTGTGAGTGGAGTGTCAAAAAAAATGACAGTTTATAAAATAAAATTCACAAAACAGGACAGAAAATCATCAAAAAAAAAAAGAAGATATGATTTCTTTTCTTTTCTTCTTCGGACCCAAGTCCGCTTCTTTAACCACCAAGTCACCGCTGCCCGTTTACAAAAACAAACTTTACTAAAAGTGTGTTTGTAAGGTGTGTGTTACTCTAACTCTCTATGAACAATTTGGCATCTGATTACTGAGTACTTTCGGTCAAACTTGAGGCGAAATGACAGCCAGAACGAGAGATACCGATTTGAGTTCGAGAGTTGAGGTTTAATGAATGTTCTTAGGATTCAAGAAAGATGCTTCAGTGCCGTTATGCCCAATTTCATGGAATTAGGCAGAAGATCCCCAGGGATGACTTCATCCTGACCAGAAAAACCCAGGTTTGTTACCATAACAAGCCTATGAACCTCTGATATGGTGATGTTTGGAAAAGCTTGGATACATCGCGTGTAAAAGCTAGCCATCTTTCTGGAAATACTGACGCTCACAACTAAGGGAACGGAAGTAGAACACAAACTATAATCCATTTTTGCTGCTAACCCTTAGCACAGCATTGCTGCTGTTCTGTCTGTTGCTCTTTTGTTACGGAAATATTTTCACTTAATCAGTCATTCGCACAAGGTTAAAGTGTCATTCACCCAGTCACATTTGACCTTTTGACATGGATGAATGGCTTTTTACT